TTGTAAATGTTAATGTTATCAGCATTAATTTGCGCTTGTAGGCTGTCTGTGAGATGTATGCATGTAACTCAAGCATATAGCTCTTAGCCGCTAACGTTTTATTTTCTACCTAGTATTTAAATGTTTTCTCTTAGGGTAAAGCCTATTCTTTTTCTTTGGTCTTTTTTACACTTTGCTTTCTGTCTTTTAATCATTTTCTTCAAGCAGCCACGAGCTAGCACTAGAAACTGAATTGATATGAGCTCACTTTTGAGCCAGAAAAAAATTCAATGTTGCTGGCAACATAGGGCTAGATTTTGACTACGTTACTGATATTATTGAAAGGACATTGTGTTCTTGTTACCAAACGTGCCAGTCACGTTTAAACCTGCGTATCCTTGCACACAAATTCTATTGATTTCCATATTTTGGCACAAGTAGCCAGGTGTCATGTAAAGAAGATGAGTAACTGTTTTGCTAAACCTGCAGGCCCGGTTTTTATATACAGTCAAAGAGTAACCCATACCACCTTCACGTGGCACTAACCCTGCCATCTTTCCACTCGCTTGGTGTTTTTACCTAAAATAGCATGACAACATTTTCATGAACGCAGTTTTGAATGCAGAGTCTGCACGGCTTTGTGGAGATAAAGGAAGACTAAAAATATTACTGCAGAGCTTCCATTCATAAAAAATACTACTCTATGTAATGACATATACCTGAGCGGCGATCAAGTAGGAGAAGTAATGTGATGGTCCACTTGGTTCAACCATCTGGACAACATCTATCACATTTTAAAAACGGCTGCTTGTAAAGGTCACCTGTTCAGCTTAGTGAACCCTTTGTTCTGGGAACTTGAGTTGAAAGTGACGTCACATCCCAGAAAGCCTAAAAGAACGTTTCTGCCATTGAATGGGATGCCCGTATGTAAAAATCCTCACATTTTGTCCCCCAGTATTGGCAGCATTTGCAACTGCGTCACCTGCTGTGTACTGTTGTGATAGTCGCTGTCCTCCCTCCTTCTCTCTCAGCTCGGAGCTCTGCAGGGTGAAAACACTGGTGTTCGCCTCACATGTTTATTATGATGTGCAGACAGTGTATAAGCAGCTGTCTGTCTAGAAGTGGATGAAGCGCAGGGCCAAGTTTCCATTAAGGCACGAGTTGTGTCCAAAGAGGGCTTACGCAGAAGAAGGTGATTCCCAGCACCGGTTTGCAGAGTTTGTCCTCTTTGTGTTTGGACTTTACAGCTGCACTCATTAACCCTTCCAGGTGATTTTCTTTCGTGCTTTATGGCTGTCGGCACCGAGCCAAGTGCCGACAGCCATCCTAAAGTTAGCATGGAGCTCCAAACCCTTAATGAAAGATTTGCTCTAGACCATAAGGGGGGGAAAAATCCCTAAGAGCCATTCTGGCTGCTTCACACGCACTCGTTCCAAAACAAATAGGTGCTAAAAATAAATTAAAGAAAAGCTTTGGATAGTGTTTGCTTAGAAATTGACTTTCTATATTTTAGCACCAATGTGTGCTACTTGTCTAAAGTTCATCTCATAAACACAAGACAAAATCCCAAGTGGGCAGCTGCAGACACATTCTGCAAACTAACACAAGCTACTATCACCTTTATTTCAAAGCTAGTTTGTCTGCTCTGAAGCACCTGATACTGGTTATTCCTACGTGCTAGGAGAAGCTGATTAATTATTGAAATGAATCGTCAAAAAAAAATTATATCATTAGTAAATTGCAGGCTATTTATCATGAATCAGGACACAAAGAAAACACAGATAAATATATATATATGTATTTGTACGAGAGACTCTCCTTTATTCTTCCCTGGACATGAGGATACATACATTGTTGAGCACTATTCACAAGTAAGTGCCATTTCTCCTAGTTACGTAATCTAAAGAGGCGGCTTTAGTATCTCAGATGAGGAATTGATAAATCTTTTTTTTTTCTTCAGGCTGATGCCTCCGCAGAGCCAGTTCCGCTTTACTGACTTTTAACAGTCAGCCCATATAACAGAGAACCAATCATTCAAGCGTTGGAGTTACGTAGCACAAGTGTTGTAATTTCCACAGGACACAAGGCATTTGCTTTGGGATTATGGGTGTAGCTAACACCAGTATCAGCAAATATTAGCCTTCTAAACCATCGGGCTATTTTCGTGATGTAAAATGGACAAGAAATAAACAAAAGGTCCTGGACTTGCTTTGGTATTGAGTTTACCATCCTTGTGTCAAAGACTACATGAAAATGTCTGGTGGCACGAGCTTTCTATCATTTTCTGCATATACCAAGAACTGCCAGTGTGCTTACCCATGGGGGTATGTATTGTGGAACTGGGGTACTGTGACACAAGAGATCACAAGGTAAAAAAAAAAGTGCCCCCTATAGCATGACTGGTGGAGTGTGTTATCCGCGGAGCATCCTGTGAGTGTCTGTCTATGCCCTTGTTTAGACATTGGATGTGTAATATTGCTGGCTTAAATCCCACTGATGTCATCCTGTCTTTTAAACAGGTACATTTTATGTTAATGTTCCCTGTAGATTCCGAGAGACAGATGCATGAAAATTTCGGAGTCCAAGAATGGAAAGTACATAAAATGGCACATGAGGTCATCACAGTGTATGCTCACTGAGTGCTCATTGAACACATAATGTAGCAATGTGTGCTATCCTTTGTGCAGCCAGACCTGAGCTGGGTGATTTGAATACTTTATTGGCATTTGGTGTGACAAAGTAAGACTATTGCCGCAACTTTTTACTAAGACGGGTTAAGATGCCATCAGATTAACAGAAAGGAGAGGTAATGGCCATGTGAAGTCCCCAACTTTAGGCCTCATCTTGAGTATACAAGTGAAAGTGAAAGGTTCTGCATTGTCACTTATCTCTGACCCCTATTTCCTGTATTTTTCTGTATCAGCAAAGCTAAGATGAGAATAGTATATACTGTCTATTTATGCTTAGTCTGCTGGGCCCTGGGATAGCAAAAACCTCTCCATGGCAACTGATTCTGCTATGTTGTTGTTTTGGCATATTAACAGGAAGTACAGGTTGCTGGCTTACTCATAACAGTGATCCTGTCCAAGTGAAAAAAATAAACAGTGGTGCATACTGGCAGCCTGTTTCATTAGCTCAAGCATTTTGCTCTAAATTTGCCTCCATAATTGCTAACTCGGTGGCTTGAGACTCAGGTCCTGGCACATCTTACACAAAGGCTCGAAAGGTTTTGTGTCAGGTGGGCTGACAGAGGATGCCATTTTCAGCACATTCTACTATGGAAAGCTGCTCATTGTATTTTTATCGTCATTATTTATTCATTTGTTTATCATGTGGACATATTTAATTCTCGGAGTCATAAAAGTCGTAGCTGGTCACTGGCAGCAGAGGATGATAAATTTCATGGGTCCATAGGGGCAGTACGGGCAGTCAACAACATAGAGGACAACACTAACCCATAAAAACTCTGAAAGAAATACAAGAGGACATGATATTGCTCAAGAGGCAGACAGAGCCAGCAACAATTCATTGTGGCACCAATAAAATAAACACAAAAGCCGTTTGTTTATATAGTGGAGGCCAGTACAGAGTCAGGGAAAATGGGTAAAAACTACACCTAATCTAATCTG